TTCGTATTGCACAATCGGTGGGCAATCTTTAATTCTTGCATCCCACAATGCTTTTCTATTTATTTTTTTTTAAAAAAAAAAAATTATTATATTATATATTATTATTAAAAGATCAATCAATAATTTTAAATTTACTTTTGTAAGAATGGTTGAACATCGATTGTGCAATACGAAGATGTAAGTAAATAATATTCAAGTCATGTGAAATAGTTTTTCGTTGTAGCTGAAATAATTAATAAATTTAGGTGATGCAAACTCAAGCAGGACTATCAGAATGGTTGAAGAAAATCGTAAGATTTTATCCATTTGACAAATACGCTTGTTTTTATTCGGTCTAATATTGATTTCGTTTGATAGGATAAGTATGGATTTTGTTTTGTCGATGGAGTACCACCTAAAGTTAAGGAAACTGAAGAATTAGCAGAAAGAATTTGTTATATAAGAGAATCTCATTATGGTAATTTAACAATCAAAGAATATTATTATTATTATTATTATTTTTTTCTTTTAAAAAAAAAAAAAATATTAATTAATTTTATTATAGGTAAATTTTGGGATTTCACATCAAATTTAGCTCACGGAGATACAGCATATACTACATTGGCGTTAAAAGCTCATACTGATAACACTTACTTTACTGATCCATCCGGGTACGTCAATAAGATAATTTTATTATTAATAATAATATTATTATTTTGAAAAGGTCTTTTCCCTAAAGATTTTCTTTACAGATTGCAGATGTTTCATTTAATCGAGTTCCAAGGTAAAGGAGGGTCGTCATTATTAATTGACGGATTCTCAATAGCTCGTAAATTAAAAATGAAATATCCGGAAGCATACAAAGTGTTATCCACGATTCGCATCCCAACACATTCCGCAGGAGATTCCAAAGTATTAATTCAGCCAACACCATTAGCTTATCCTATCTTAAATCATAATCCTTTAACAAATGAACTTTATCAAATTCGTTATAATAATGATGATAGGTCAACTTTAAATCAATTAACATCCGAGGAAATTGAATCATTTTACGATTCATTAAGAAAATGGAATAAAATTTTAGTTGATAAAGAAAATGAATATTGGGTACAATTGGGACCCGGTAGGGTAATGATTTTTGATAATTGGAGAGTATTACATGGTAGAGCGGAATTTACCGGTCATAGAAGATTAATTGGTGCTTATTTAAATTGGGATGATTATAGAAGTAAATTAAAGGTTTCCAGTTTATCCAGACAAGAAATTGAAGAGGCTTTATAAACGATTTAATTTAGAAAATTATTTTATTTAATTAAGTTTTTTTTTTTTGTTTTACCTTATCGTACAGTACTAATG